CTAAGGTCCATATTACCATAGTATGGTCTCCTTTATTCAAAAGTCTGGCACGGGGATTCAACTTCCAACATTGAGGGAGATTCACGACGTGTACTTAGATGAAGAGGTGATAGAACTAAAGGATTAGATCAAATCTTTTAAGAGGCAATGAGACAAATATAGGGTAACATTGATATATGATAATTGGATAGGGTCAACAAGAATGAGTATCATCAACTTTCTTATTTATTATAATAGAAAAATGGTATTTCATAAGTCAATTAATGTTTCTGATAAGATCCAAGATGCATACTATATTGAGAGCTTGATGGACATCATAGTAGAGGAGATTAGAGCATAGTATATTATCCAAATAGTAACTAACAATGGAGTGAATTTTAAGAAGACTAGTTTACAATTGATGGAAAAAATAAAAATATTATTTTAGACTCCGTGTGTAGCTTATTGCATGGATTTAATGCTGAAGGATATTGGTCAGCTAGACGCGGTCAAGAAGTATGTAGCTTAAGTACAGTCAATTACAAAGTGTATATATAACCATTATTGGGTCCACTCTTTAATGCAAAAGTATATAAATGGTGAGATACTTTGATTTGGAGTAACTCAATTTGCTACCAATTTTATTGTATTAAAGTCATTACAGCAAAAGAGACATGGCTTGAAGGCAATGGTCACCTCGAGTGGTCTGATTCCAGATATTCGAGATCGAGCGATGGAAAGAAAGAAAAGGTCATTCTTTTCTCTAGATTTTGGGAGATCGTGGCTAAAATCATAAATGGTATGGAATCACTTTATATTGTTCTCCGTAAGGTCAATATGGATAAGCATCTATAGATACTGTTGTTAGTCATAGGTGCCCTATAAGTCAATCACGTGAGTGATAGCACGTGTGACATAATTACACATTCTTTTTGCTTATTATATTATTTGATATTTTATCACATTATATTGCTTGTTGCATATATATATTGTTAGACTCTTGCTCTATTGCTCTAATAGTTAGACTCTTGCTCTATTACTCTAATAGTTAACTTTTATGATAGAAAAAATATCCATGAATGTTGAATCTCATATTTTGATGATGAATTTAATTGATAAGTTTACGATCTAATCTATGTTTTGAGTAACGTAGGACTAACTTCAATCAGAAAATACAAATCGATTAAAGTAGGAGGAATCAGATGTTGGGCCGGAGTGAAACATGTCTCGAGATTGAATATTAAGCTGAAAGATCAGTCGATGTACTGCCAGAAGTCATTTGTGCCATGAGTTCGGGCATCAGGCCAAAGGATCGGACATTATGCCAAGGAGATCGGAAGTTGCGGGAGTCAACATGCTGATTGGGCAATACGTCGAAGAAGAGGACGATGCGTTGGATGAACCAATAACATGCTGGACAACATAGGATTCATGCTTATAATCAATTATGTCTAGATCAAGTTAGTTTAGGTCTAATTAAGTTGATATTGAGGTGAAATAATGTCAACTCAATTAGGGGCCAATTGAGCCTGGGATTATTTTGGGCCAAGTGGAAGGCTCGTTCAGTGACCCATAACTCGCCCAAGCGATGGCACCGCTAGACTAGACAATGGTATCCCCCAAACACAGTCACCTAGACTATGTCAACCGATGGTATCACCCCGACACAATCTCTCAAATTGTGTCAGGTGGTGGTACTACCAGTTTGGGCAGTGGTACCGCCTAGTATCAGTGCTACAAACGGTGGTACCGCTAAGACCCGAGAAACTTGAGACCTTTTTTAGCTCTATTTTTAAAGTCATTTGAGGTCTATAAGTATCCCACCTTTTCCTGCTTAGTAGAGCACAAAATTAAGTAGAAAAGGGGGAAAGAATACTTGGAGAAAAAAAATTAGGATTTAGAGTCTCTTCCTCCTAGAGTTAGAAGTTTTCTAAGGAATAAGTGAGGTATAAAATGTTCTCTCCCGGGCTTGTGAAAAGGAGAAAGAGTTATAAGGGTAGTTGATCTTTACCCGTTGAAAAAAGATTGGTAGTGGAAGCTGGTGGCCTCGAGTGAAGAAGAATCGAGAGTAGATGTAGGTCACAATGACTAAACCACTATAAATCTGGTTTATATTTATTTTATACTTTTCATTCATATTACAAATTGATTTACTTATTCATTATATTTACGAACGGCGATATAGTCTTAACAATGATAACATCATGATTGCCATTTAGGAGGTTCTTTTAGCTATGAATTTTCTTGCTAAGTATATTGACATCGATTGGACCCATTCATGCACATTTTCTTTGATCTTCTCTTGTGTAACCAATGGTTTATGTTCTAATAGTTTCAAAGCTAAGGTATCAGGTAAGAAGACCCCCTGTCGCCATACCTCTTTATTCTTGCCTAACAAGTCTTATCAACTCTAACCTTCAAAATGGTTGACTGAATGCAGATCACTCCTTTCAACTTTAAAGGGGTAAACATTTCTCACCTAATGTTTACCAACGATCTACTACTAGCCTTTCGTGCTAATAAAAAATCTTACACCAGTGTCCTCAAGGCACTTAACATTTTTTATACTTTAGCCTCCAAAAATCCATACTATACTTCTCAAAGCATTCCACCCCTTCCATCAAGCATTCTATGAGGTACCTTCTTTAGGGCATTTCTCTTCATTTTTTTTAACCAAAAAAATGAGACCGATTAAACAATTCTCAACTCTATTTCTACTCATCTATTGTTCAACTGTAATATATCAGATTCAATTCTAAATCATATAATGCATTTAGCATGAAACTTATTTGGAACTCCCACCCTTCTTCCTACCGTATAAAACTTCAGTTGGTACATCATTTTCAAACCCAAAGTTTATGATGATTGA